ATAATAAGCTTTCAGAAAATATATAACATGTTGGATATATAATACCATCTTCATTGTCTAATTACTCAATTAAAAAGCAAGCCAAATAAACTGCATCTCTACCTTAATGTGAAGTATAAGAAAAAAAAGTATATTCGCTGAATTTTATTTTCACGGAATCATCCCTTCAGCGAAAATAGCGAAAATAAATTCCAAGCGAAAATAAAGTATTCTACAGTATCATGTGATGAGGTAAAGCTATGACGTCATCAAAACCTCTTACTCTTAATGGTGATTTATAACACACTGTAACAACACTGGGCAATATGTTGTCCTTTATTCTCTAATTATTTGTACAGTGGGATTTACTTGATATGCATATAGCACTGAGTTCCATATTGAAACAGTATTAAATAACAGAATGGTGTGAGGTATATCACTTTTCTTAGCTTCTTGAGAAAATAGTTCTATCACTTACAAATTAATTAACATTGAGGGCTGAAATTACTATTTATCAATGTGATTTCAGGAGACAAATTTTCTTAAATTTTGTATGTCAGTCAGGGTTATTGCAGTTTTTTTAGCTATGACAATTACTCTAGGGTTCTGATGAACACCATTGAATAAAATAAATGTTTACAAATTAAGCAAAGAACTTCATACATACTCTCGCTAGATTTGGAAAAGTTCACCCTTAAGTATGAGTTGCCAGTCGTGAAATCTTCAGCTATGACAATTACTCTGGGGTTCTGATGAACACCATTGAATAAAATAAATGTTTACAAATTAAGCACAGAACTTCATACATGCTCTCGCTAGATTTGGAAAAGTTCACCCTTAAGTATGAGCTGCCAGTCGTGAAATCTCCTTCAATAAAAGTTGTAGCTTTAAATGTAGCATGTGACCTGTATGTTTTTTTAAGATATGCCACAGATAACTCTTGTTCATACCAACTATTTTTATTGATAATTGACATGATGATGGTAGTGGAGTGAAAATATGTCCTTATTAGGTTAGAAGGTTTTGTGCAAAACATGATAGTATAATTGGCTATCATATGATAATTCATTAGGGATCTTCTCAAATTTTCACATAAGTGAAAAACCACAAGTTCCTGGAGCTAAATGTGATGTTTTTATTCTGACCACTTACCATGTACCGTTAAAAATATATTTTGAAAGAATACCCTATTTGCTCTATTAGTAGCGCATGCACTTATGTAAATTATGGAGGGGATACCTGAGTTTGTATTAAGACTCTGGCAGATACTGGTCGCTTCACAGTTGATAATTAACATTTTTATAGGCAGACAGACAGAAACAGATGCTTTCACTGTTAAATAGAAAGCTGTCAATCTCAGAGATTGCGGGGGGGGGGGGGTGTGATCAGGGGACACCATTGTTTATGTTATTTATAGAACTAATTTGTCTTTTGATTTCAATTGTAATTTTAATCAAGTCAGTAAATTAGCTTTGAGATTAGAGTTAACAGGAATTGGTATACCTTCTGAATGCCACAATTTTTCCATAAAAATTTAGATTTTTGCAAATTTGTATGCATTTTTGCTATTTTTAGACCAAATGAATATAAGATCCTACTCAGAGTTAAAAAAAAAATATATGGAAAAAATGATACAGCAATGTGTGATAAATTGAGGCTGTCCTCTACATGTACATGTATACAGCCAGGAAGATTTATTGCCAGAGCAGGCTTGGATGAACTTACAGCAGTCAAGTATTGTTAAATAGTTTCATGATTGTATAAGTTTCACACGAGATACAACACAGTCTAAAAATACTCTAAGCTTCATTTTACCTCACTGTTATAGTGTATCCTCCTATATTTCCCCATTATGAAAACCTGCACCTCTGTGTCCATTCTTTTTTTATGCAAATGAGATGTATTAATTAATATGCAAATAAGATGCTTAGCAATCATCTCATAGAAACTGAGTGCATGAATTTATGAAATTTATTAAAACTTGCAAACTTGAATAATTTACTCATAAAATACATATGCTAATTAATTTACACCTGAAATTGCGATGATAGCATGTACACCCAAAATTTCTATATAAACCTACTACAATTTGTTTTCTAATTATTTTCTGAAGACAATAAATTATATTAATGCTTATAGGCATTATGATATTGTCGGTTCTAGGCTCCCGTCTTGGATTATTCTATTATAATTGTACCACCTGCTGCTTAGACTGCAGTTATTTCACTGTTTTCGTCAATCTGTGTCTATTTATTTACATTTCACAACACACGTGTACAGGTAATATTATTTTCTTTACCGGAGAGTAGAAGAATTCTTTTGAAGGAGAACGCTCATTGTCATGGCGTTGCGATCAGTAGTCAGTAAGTAACTGTATTATAAAATGCTAGCAAAGACTTGAATACTGTGGCTACTAAACCATGTCGTATAGTGTAGCTTAACTCTGGATTCCTTGTGTAACGTTGAGACAGTCAGTCTAGCGATCCTCCAATTGTCTTGGTGTTTCTAACCCGTAGCTATGCTCAACAATAGCCTGAAATCTGTGTCATTGTCCACCACAAGGCAATTTGCCAACAAGCTAAAAAATCAGGTCTATGTATAAACTCATCATAATTATTTAGATGCTTTTTAGGTTAGTATTTCCAGTGTTTATTTTACAGATAGTCACCCCACAATTTTGGCATCTTACTCATTAGGTCTAGGATTTTAAGTCCAACTGTTTATGCGCTTACACTGTGAACGTTTTATGCCTCTCTGTTTCGCTTGTATGTATGGCTTTCAATTGACGCAATCTGTATGGGTAATTAGTTGCCATGGCAATGCTTGAATCATGGAGGCTGCCATATTGGATTTCAGTTAGCTGTGATTAGTTTATAATGTCTAGGATGTGATGCATGAAGGTTGTGTATCATATTGTACCTACATGTAGGGTTGTAAGCCTAGACTGTATCCAGGATGTCAAGCACCACCTGCCATTTTG